GATACTAATAATAATAATTATGACGATTATAATAATAACAATAATAATAATAATAATAATAGTAAAACCGAAGAAAATAAAAACAACAACAAAACAATGTAAGTAGGTGTTATGGTGTCCATCGAGGGGTTTCATAACGTACGAGTTCGAAGTCGGAGCCCTGACAGGGAACATTCTATTGTGTCCTTGAGAAAGATACTTTAATACTCAATAGAGGAGTTTCAATGCTACTATGTGCTCTCCACTTAATAAACCAAGATACGCCTCTGCGAAATAATCAACGATGACCACAAGACCCTTTTTTTTGCGTTATTTTTCAGTTATTACCTCAACAGGTTCCCAGCGCAGTGTTGTTGTAGCATACTCTAACATCAACTGACAGTTCTCCATTACACTGCAGTGAGACAGGGATGCAGCCTGAAAGAGAACAGTCACTCATCAACATAAATTGAACAAGATGAGTAGAAGCTGCTAGCTTACCTGAGACAAAACTGCAGAAAAAAAACAAAAACAAACAAAAACAAGCTGACAGACAAACAGACAAAAACAATATCTTCTGCGTAAATATTTAAAACGATTTGGAGTGTTTGTAAGCGAGGTTCAAAAACTTTCCTGGTAAAAGTAGAACATAAAGAGGATGGGATCAACCGTTAACCGTCAAATACTGTGCCCCATTCCTGCAAAAAAAAACCCTTTGCCGAGGTTAAGTTCACTTCCAACCTCTCTAAACTAAAACAGCCAAGCGGGTGTCGTCCTTTTAAATAACATAACATACTGAATTTGCTCATCTGACAATATACAATTTTCTCCTAAAATTAGGGAGTAGGCTTGAAAATTCACCTTATACGCTGGAACTGGTGGTGTTCCACCCTCGTTCCTTGCAATAGATCTCCTCAGCGCATCTGCCCTGATGTGAAGATGGGCATCAAAGTATCTCCGTAGAGCCATGCAAGTGTGTTTTGCTGTCTGCCGGCTGCCAAACACCTCATCATCACTCAGTAGTTTTGCCTCGTCGGGAAGAAGGATTGAAAGCGTACTTAGCTGCCACAACAAGGTTAAACAAAAAAAGATTCTTTTAGAATGGTTTGCAGCCAGTAATATTCGTTGTTTTCAAGATGCAAACGCAAGTGGAATAGGACCGTAAAATGGCTTGGGAGGAGGGGGGAGGGGGGAGGGGGGAGGGAGATTGATGAAAAATAAGCAGAGATGTGTTATTCATTGTTATTTCATGTTTAACGGAATGATACTCGTTACCTCTTTCTTTTAGAAAAAACTGGTCTGCTCATAACTCACAAATCATTGGTAAGTTAAATCTGCGCTAAATAATGCATTTCTTACAACTAAAAATCAGAAAACCTAAAAACATTTTTTTAAAATGGAAAAATCTCTTACCCTCTCCATGGCGTCCTCATTGTAAGCGAGATAATACAAACACATAGAACATCCTGTAGCAGCCACCGATGGGCGTGGCACTTCTAGTAACCGCTGGACTCCGTTATGGGTCACAAATTCTGTGGCAAACTTTTTATGACAAAGAAGGGATGCCAAATACTAAAAAGACAATAAAAGGAAATAGCTTTTAAATTCTGAGGCTTTTTTTGTCAGATCTCAGTCCGTACAATGCATTATTGTCTTAACCTTTAACTTACACGAGTGACCAAGACAGAATTTCTCCTTACAATATCAATACAATATCAACCAGATAAGTGATGAGAATAGAGAAAATTATCAATTCGGGCAGGATTAACTGATCTACTACTAAGTTATCCGAACTAGCATTATAAGAATTCTATGGTTGACAGTAAGGAGAATTACAAATTTGATCTGGGAGTTGAAGAGTTAAAGTAGTGCTTTTCAAGAGGGATGAATGTGGTAGAGTGTCTAAAGGTTCGTTTACACAAAAGACAGAATTGGAATCGAATTGTTCATTAGTCGTAGGAGTGCCAGCGACCCAGAGAAAATCGAGAGTCGGAGTCGTAAGTGGAGCCAAAAGCTTGACGAAATAGGAGTTGGAATATTCCGAACAATTTCTTTTCTTCCGATTCCGCTATGAACTCCAACGCTTATGATCCAGTGAAAACTCGATTGTCGGAATCACAGGCAATGCCAGTTCTTAACTGAGTTAACCGATGGCTCAAAACTCCAACAATTTATTTTTCACACATCATTAGCGAGTCATCTGATTCTATCGGTTTGATTTTCACAAGATCGTATTGCTGTACGCTTTTTGTAGGTACACCGGCGAGGGTGAAAACCAACCGTAACTGCATGAAATTCTAGATGTACAACACAAAACATGACGTTACTGCCTCCTTCCTACCTTGAGGGCTTCAAAGACTAGTTGTAGGTCCACCTGGCCTTTAAATGTAATGTAGTGCATTACAAGATCCAGGGCTTTTGATTCAAACACTGTCGGCAACAGCTGAATTGAAATGTTCAAAGAAAAATGTGTCAAGATAAATTAATAGCCAAGCAATGCTCCAGGCTACGCTACGACTGTTTTAGTTGCCATAGCAACTGATAAAATTTGCTACGGCTCAAATAGAACCTCTTAATTCAGAGCTGAGTGCATTAACTTTTGACCAAGACCAATGCATGTCCCTTCATCCAACAAATAGTTCTTGCTCACGCCAATTAGTTAAAACCCTAAGCATTATCTTCTGACCAAGGCCAATTTATGTCCTGTCATCCAAAAAGTATTTCTTGCTCGCGCACGTTCAGTTAAAGCGCATCAGATGATCAAAAATTCTTGATTCGAGTGCGTTATCTTCTGACCAAGGCCAATGTATGTCCCTTCCTCCAAAAGATATTTCTTGCTCTTGCATGACTAGTTAAAACAGTCCAAACTCAAAATTTTCAAGTTATGTGACATTTCTAATTTATCTTTGATTCAGAGCCCTTTTCCCACAAACTTCCCACATACTTCAGTGGAGAGACTCTCTCTGTTCTTCATATATCATTAGATGCTCAAGTGCCTAATTACAACACATACCTCCTGATATTCCCCTAAGGGAGTCAGATACTGCAGAATTAGTCTCTGCTGCATGCCAAAAGTCAGGGGGAGAGGGAAAAGGACATAGGGACTATGTGGTACCCTCCCATAGGTGCACAAATTACATTTCCAGAGAAATGGAAGGCCTTGCTTGTTTTAACTAGCAATGGATGTTTTGCTTGTAGACAACTTTTACCTGAAACAAAAGGAAAATATTTCCAAATTTTAAGGAAACTGAGTTAGCTTGTGCATACTTCCTCCTTCCCCTTATTCCCCTCTCTCCCCCGGACATAAAAGAAGAAAAACATATGATAATAAGAACAAAAATACTGAAGTGCTTGAGGAAGGACACTTTTCAATCCATGTTATTGTAACCACCTAGATGTACTATCAAATCCCCCTGGTTCAAAATTGAAAGTGAAACTTGCTACCCTTAAACTCCCAGAAGTGATCAACATGTAACTTCTCTCCATAATATACGTACATTATTCACTTAACAGCTAATAACAATACACAAACTTATCGGGCAGAAGTTGTTATCTTGATCTAAACACCAAATTCTCATAACTAATTTACATGTCAAAGATGTAGCAAATATAGGGGAGAATTACAATCTGATTTTGGGAGTCAGAGGGTAAAAAAAAACATCAAGTGCAGCTTTCCAACATTTTTCACAAGAGTGGAATTTTGAAGCACAAAAAAATAAACTCCAACTCTCAAAGGCCCTATTTGCACTTACTGATATCTAGTGTTTATTCCATTGAAAGCTTCAAGGACCCCATCCAAAAGATCTCACTTTTGTCATATCAATTGTACATATTGGAACTTATTCTTATCCTTGAAGTGCTTTCAATAAGATTTGAAGAAGGTTGCTGCCTCGGTAAAGCACCTGCCAGAGAATTTCGCTCTTGTTATTCCATTACGTCCATTCAGAAGAAACTGGCTTAAAACAGAGTTTTCGGTGTCAAACTTTCATAGATGATCATTTAATAGTTTTGTTCTTGATAACAATTGTTTAAGTGATCATTTTATTCCTGATCAAAATCTTCCATTCTGTGACATGCTGGCCTGCTCCCGGAGTTTCACACAAAAAGTCCTCTGAAAGGACATATGGTAAATGTTTACCAAAATTTGAGTCAGTTTGCTGTTGGAAACTCAAAATATACTTTTTTTTTGGCTGGAAATGTATGAAATGTATGCTAGAATATATGATAATACCAATCATTTTATCAAAACTCATTTATAAAGGTAAAAGTTGACTGAAAGAACTCTAGAAGATTTTGAGGTGTTTTATATTGCAAACCAGTCATACCACTCAGTTTGAATAGACACTTACATGTAGATTAACTTGATGTTGTTAGAAGATTCAACTCACTTTGCTTCTTCCACTCCTCCATTACACAAACCAAATGTTTCACCATTCTGTGGCACTGTGAATGATGGTCCTGGCTCAGCAAGATTCACTTTCTTTACCATGTTAAAACATACTGTTACTGAAAAGTCGAATTTGCATAATATGGCGGATGGACACGTTTTCCTAGCTCCGAAGGCTGATCGCTTTATCTCCAGGCCGCGGCTTGTTAGGACCAGTTCCTTGCCTGATTTGAGTAAAGTACATACTGACTCAACTCTGGTAGTCGCTGATCAGATTAATAACAAGAATATGTCTACTTCTGTACCCGAATACGGTTCGCTTTCCTCGTCCTTTGAAATGAGCGAAATGGCTGCTATCAAGAATGCATTAAATGGACGGTCCATCAACTCCCTGAAGGTGAAAGATCTAAGGGACGAACTTGAAAAAAGAAAGCTCTCTAAATCTGGCAGGAAAACTGAGCTGGTTAAAAGACTCAAGGAGTCGATTTTGTCAGGATCTGGTGAAATTCAAATTCCCCGCCACAATGTCAACCAACCGTCACCTCGGCCCTCGGCTGTTATAAACCTGGACGACACTAGCAGCAGCCCAGAACAACAGAGTCACACATGCAATGGCTACAAATCCCTTAAAGATCTATACGACCGCTTGGAAAATGAGGTAAACAAACTCAAAGACTCGTATAGATCTCGATTAACGGACAGTAGAGAAATACAGTCAACCTGTAAATCATGTCAAAATCAACAACGGATACAGGAAGAAAATCGCGCTCTGCGAGAGCAACTTCAGCTAATGAAGGGAAATCTAGATAAAACAAAAGAGGAGCGAGATTCCCTGCAGATGGTAGTATCATTGCTAAGCAAGGAGCTATATAACTTTCGCCTTGACAGCAAGGAAGCTTTTAATGAGTCGCCTTCGGTTGATCCTAAGGTGTCGGATACAAAATGGTCGGATACAAAGGCGGACACAAAGCAAAACAATGGATCATCTAAATCTCAATCTTCCAAAACAACGAAGAATCACCAAAGCAAATCGAGCAAGAAAAAGCCGCCAAACAAGAGTTCTCACAACAGCTCTAATACTCTTAACCACAACCAAGAAAGATCCTCG